CCTTTTCAACCCAAGAAATTCTATGATTCTGATTCCATTTTTGCAGTCACGGAAGCATCAATCAACAGCACATAAGCTGATGGTCTCCAGGGCTGCCTGAACTTGAGCTGTGACAAGGTCACACATGCCAAGCAGGAGAGCTACAAGCAGCTCTGAGAAGGGTGGTAGCACCATGGTAGGAATGTTCCTACCAGCCAACTGCAGAACACAAGGAAATCAGGCAGCCAACAACCTCCAGCAATGAGGAACAAGGTACTGAATGAAAATATGAATCCTCATCTAAAATCATGTGAGGACATCAAGGATTTCCAACCACAACTAGAAGGAGGCAAGGACCACATCATCTTGTTTTAGTTAGTGGGGATGATGGAAGCAGAGCTGATGGTGTAAAGTACATGCAGTTTCCCACATGCAACCAAAGTAGGCTCTTAAGTCAAACACGGTTGGAAAAAGTTAACTGATCAGTGGTATCACTCAAATTAGATGCCAAATCAGTGGTCTAGTTTGTCCCTGCCACAGAGTGTGGCAACACAGAGGCAGGGCCCCCCCCATCTGTTGAATAATATTAAAACACTCAGCAACAAGTGTGTTGTCAGTGAATAAGGTGCAGCTATTCTTTTTCAGAAGAGCACTTTGTGAACAGTATCTATTCAGATGTTCTGTATAAATAAAAGACAGGACTCCATATCAGTCAAGAGCCAAATATGAACTCCTATTATATGTTCTTACTGTGCCTACTGCCACAGAATAAGAATTCATTAAAAAAAGCATTAGTTGATGAACAGGGAGCTCAGGCAGAAAAAAAGAGCAATTAGCAAAGTCGAAGTTCTATCCATAAGTATATAAATACAGCTATTGACACAGCTAATAAATATTAAAAGTTTACGGTTTACCAATATAGTTACTAGTTGTACCATAATGGTTTTATAACCAGTTCCTCAAGGTGCATTACAATTAAAAATTTATAACAGCCAATTCCTTTGAGAACCTTAAGCTATAACGCAGTTATATAATGCTACCTGAATAAACTGTTGTATTGCATTCATTTAGAAGAGATGACTCACCACCAACATAACTCTTGGAATTGTGTAGAAGCTCCATGAAATTCAAAAGCCACTGGTATGCAGCACTTGGCATTATTGGCACAAAAATCTCAGCTACAGTTTCTCATTAGTGGCAGGCTTAGGATTGCTATGACTTAAAATACTCCATAATCAAATGTTCTTTCCCCCAGCAGAGATCACAAAATAAAAGGCAAAGAAAGCACTCAATCCTGAAGAATTTATGGCCTTGGTCAGCATCCAACTAATTAACAATGGATAAAATAAAAGATAACTTTTCACCCTGTTTTAAGGCATGAAACTGCCAGATAGAAGCAACAAGTTCTGTTCCCTGAGAAAGGTGGCCTTCCAGACACTGAGTGGCTGCAATGAGAAAACAACACCAACCACCACTGCTCTTCTGGCTGTTCCTACAGCTGCAGCTGCTCATCCCCTTCCCACCTGCCTCAACTCTCCTGTGCTGTTTTCCAGATAATCTGTGCACTGTAGCAGACCTCAAACCCTGTAAGCAAAGCACCAAATTCCTCCAGCTTCCCTGCTTAAATGGGGACCCCCAATAGCTTTCCCTAGTCCCAAGTGGAAGTGCTCTCATAGCACCTATAAAAGCATAGGTCACACAACTGCTATAGTGGAGAGTGATGTGGAAACATTCTCTTCAGGAATGACTACAGAAATCTTTGTTTTTAACATTAAACAACAGTTTAGTGTCTCTCCAGGTGGGACAGATCTGCCCCAAATTTTTCTAGTTCTCCATGAGGGGAAACTACCAACTATACCTGCAGACAGGATAGCTGCTCCCTTTACAAGTCCTCTTATTTGAACACAGAAGCTTCTTCAGAAGACTTAACAGGTACTGCTTCCAAAACACTTTGTAAATGATAGGCATCAGTGCTCATAGACAGACACAGACAGTATGAAAGTAGGTAGTAGATACGGATCATCCTCAGCTGGGCACTAAACTGAGCTGAGGAATGAGATTGTGGAGTCACATCTACTAGTGATCAAAGGCTGCAGTGATACAATGTCTGGTTCTTACTACTCTACATCAAGTGGACATAAGCTCCAAAGTATTTTATTTTAGTAAACCAGAGGTGTGAAAAAACTGAAAAACAACATACTTTAATAAAGCATCAACGTATTGAGACAACAAGTAAGGCTGTCACAAAAATACAGACACTACTAGCACTTTAAGATTACAGGAAATTAGAGTTTGAAAGCAGATGTGGAAGGGCCATACACACACCTTGCACTCAGCTGTAATAAATTCTGAGCAGTACAAGAGAAATGGAAATAAACCAAACTATTCTGAACAATATCCCAAGTGCATGAGCCAGTCAGCACCAGAGTGCAGTTAGTAGAAGACAAGTTATATCAATTTTTTAATGTACAACATAAATCTCATTTTCAAAATGTTCAGAAGTTACCTTTCAACACAATGTAGACTGAACCTGGAAGCAGCAAATATTACTCCTATTAAGGCTGGATAGAGTGCAAATGCAATTAACACATTATGTTTCAAAATATGCAAACCAAGTTCAATTCTACTCTTTTGGAAAAAATAAGCAAACATTCTAACTGTGATTCAGCAAAGCATTTACATACATGCTTGAAGTACATGGACCAGATAAACTGACATAAAATTTAGCAATCAATCTTCAGTTCTTATCCAGATATGAACTAGAGATGAACTCTTTCCAGTCCAAGATCAGCATGGGTGTCAGTGTCTGCACATCTGTCATTTCATACTGTAAAACTACTGCTGGCTGAAGAATTCCATGTTTTTTCAACCCATAAAGGTCCACATAGGTTTTGGCTGTTCTTACCTGGGGCTTTTTCTTCTTCTTCGGTAGCTTTGGTATAAATCTGTGTTCACTGAACATGCTTAATCCCTGCTCTGAACTTGGGGAAGAGGCATGCACAGTGAGAGCCTACAGACAGTGCCAGGAACTGTGACAGCACACAGCAAAAAGTGCAGGTGCTGTAGGAAATGCAAAAGAAGTTGCTTTCACCAGGCATACAGATGAATTCCGATTACCTCCCATATACTGTATTCCTTTGCTTATGATATCAAGGAGTGAAAACCAATTCATTTTTCTTTTTAAATCATAACCAGTATTAGCAATAAATTCAAGAAGCAATGCAAATTTTTAAGAAAAAATCTATTTTAGCACAGGGATGCTACTTGTTCAAATGGCACCTGAAGATGGTTTCACATTACTAGCAGGGAGAAAACCCTTCCTTCTATGTCCTTATGAGAAATAGGAGTTAGAAACAATGAAGATCCAGCCATGTAAGTTTATCATCATCACAAACATAACTCAAAAATAAAGGGTGGTTAACTTGAAACAATGAGTATCTGAAAGAAAACACCAGAGATGTTGTGCCCTCTCCAAGGAGGTTACGTGCACTTTGAGAAGTGCTAGATGATTGCTGCATTACTTTCTTCAACCTAACACAATCATCAAATTTTAGTTGTGTACTCGATAGGAGACAAGAAATTCCTTTCAAACCTTTCATATCATATTTCTTCAACAACTATCCAATTGTCTGAAGGCCCAGAATTTTCAGGAGTTCTTTGTGTGAAATTACATTCAGTGCTTACAAATTTCTTACAGGCAGTATTCCTCATCTAAGATAAAAGTAGTTAAAACTAAGTGATTCCTTTCTTTCAGCCCACCTAATTTTAAGCCACAGCAGCGTATCATTTAAATTCTGCTAGGCACATACTGTGGTTATATCTACAACTAGAAGAACAGAAAAAGAAAAGAAAGATCCATTTTACTTTAATCCTGACCAGCAGCTGTTAGCAATTTTCTTTAGTTATCACTGTGGGACATGATGAATAGGAAGACTCAATATGCTGAGGAACTAGTGTATGGTATACAAGTGCTCTCAAGGATGTTGTTCAACAACACATTTAGTTTAACTAGGAACCACAGACTGTACGAGATAACATATTTCCTGGGAGTACCTATCATGCTTCAGAGAAGCTGTCTGATCATGAGGGTAGTATCTGAAAGGACTGCATGATCTTGTGCTATACTGCTACTGTATCACACCACTGAAGGAGCAGTATTAATCTGAGGGAACCAAAATCAGGAAATCTGCATAAAAGAACAAGTATTAACATTTTAAAACTTCCCATATACTTTGCAAATAGTACAGAGAAACTGGATACACAAGAACATACAAGTGTAACAAAGCTAATCTCCAATAAACAAAAAAACAGATTTCATGTATTTTAAGACTTTAAGCATTAAAAATATTACCTGATTATGCCAAATAGTAGCAAAGGAATAGGGTTCTACCCCTAGCTGACATAAGTAAAAACTTGGCTCTTCCAGTTTTTTTCCCTTCCTCTTTATACATGTTTTTTATAACTTCAGGCAATAAAGTTGCTGAGTGACATAGGAGCTGAAAAGCAAATGTAAATAAGGCATCTTCCTCTATTAATAGCAATGCTCCAGAGATTTGTGATTTATATGTAGGTAGCTGCATAACGATTTACAGACCATAATTACACTAGATGTCCTCCTGCCAAGGACAAAATAGGATGCTGTCTACTTTGATACCAGCAATACTATTTGGAAAGCCATCCCTCTCCACATACACTCTATCCCAATGTGGTTGCATACTCAGTTAAAAGTATGCTGACACCCACTGTTAGACTTCTGTCTGAAAGCTGTGCCCCACCATCATTATTAGGCATAGCTCTCAACTCAGATCTCAACAGATAAATACTCTGTTAAACTACAAATCTTACAAATAAAAGCTCAGGGCAAACAATTAATGCTGGGTCCCTGAACAAAAGCTCCATCTGAAATACAAAAGCCAAAAGAACAGTATCTTTCCAAGTGCCCAGCCGAGTCACCACACCCATTTTTGTACAAAACCTTCTATGCAGACCATCAGGAAAGACTGGTAATTATTCATCAAGTTCACATACAAATCCCAGAAAGCTTCAGATACGTTCCAACAAATTTTAATTAACACAAAAATGTGGACAGAACTCTGTCCTAGAACTCAGTAAGTTTTTATTAAAGTTTAAGTTTTACAAAATTCAGAAGAAAGTAGCCAACAAAAGCATGAAATACAAGGCAACATTATCATCTCAAACCACTCACGAAGGAAGCAAACTGCACTAGAAGAAATTTACACATCTTCAAGGAAGGTACCATGTAAAGCACACTGCATTAATCTAGACTTGACATTATAAGGTCATGTGTTGCTGTGGCAAGGTCCATACTAAACACCAGATCAGAGACAGAAGATTAAAGTAAAACATTGGATGTCACAGTCACTGTTCTACTTATCTGAGAAAGGCAGAGACTCCAAGGTGAGCAGAAACTATGAACCTACTTAATAAAGGCCATTCTCACAAAGTCAAGAAAAGGTACATCCAACACTTTCATCCCCTCATTAAAATGGAAATACTAAAAAGGAGCACTCCATAGCATATCCCCATTGCTTCTGACTGACGTGCTGAATCAAAGGTAAAAGGAGAAAGAATTAAGAGCTAATTACAGCAACAGATCATCTAGCACTAGGCATCATATCTGAGCAGCCTACCAACCAAAAGATGAATTATTTTGTTTGCTACTTAAAGAAGCTATTAGCTGCACACTTCCATTCATTAGGCATAGAAAAGGTTTAATCTGGAGGTCATTCCAAGAAACACTTCACCCTGTGTTTAAGCACACATGCAGCCTAATAGAAACCAGTGACTAGGAAAAGAAAAAAATTATCTGCAGCATTTCCTTCGGAGTACTTGTGAGAAAAACACCCATTTAATTCTGACACCAAACAAGGACGTCAGCTTCATTAGATTTTTTTGTTTTGTTTTGTCATGCTCTTGATCCTATCTATATACTCCAAAGAAAAAAAAATCAGATTTATGATGAAGGCACAATTATACAAACCTTAACATTCACTTTAAATGAGGCTACGCAGAAAAGAGGGGAGGGAAAACGAAGATGTTTCTCTTCAAATAATTTTAATTTTATTTTCCCACAGCCATATAAATTTAAAATATGAAACAACAATAATACAGCTATAGAATCTAGTTCTTCTTTCAAAGCAGCAGCATATAAAACATACAAAAGCTAAAACCTCAGCACAAGCTTAAAAAAACAAGGACTGAGTGAATTTTGCTGAAGACATGAATTCACAAAATACAATACACAAAAATACTGGAATGCATAAAATATAAAGCTACACATTCTAGGTAAAGAAAGACATTGTAAAATATACAAAATTGCAAAATTAAGCCAAGGGATTTGTGGGTGGGTACCATGAATACAGAGAAGTTGGCAATTAATACTTGTAGATGAAGAGAAGAGACAGCTTTACATTTTGAATTCATTTTCCAAGTTCACGATTTAACTTTCTTAGCATCTTTCTTTCCAGAGTTTTCAGCAGCCAGGTCTGCTTTTCTCTTCTGTGACTAAAAAGGAGAAAATTATTTTAAAATTAATAAACTCAAAGAAATGGTGACATCATATTGCTGTTTTACAGTACATTAACTAATCAAAAAGATCAACAACATTGATGTATTATAAGTTCCAATTCACATTTTACAGGCAAAAACAGCATGGTGAACAAAACAATCTTAGCCATAGACAGAATTCTGCCACCCCTTCTGCTTTCTTTAAGTCTTGCACAAAATGGTCTCAATGGCACAGATACCATACACCACAAATTAAATAAGATCAGAACCCTGATTTACGTTTTACTTCCTTTAAAGATGACAATCCTTTAAAATAAACAGAACACTTCTAATTTTGTCCTCCAGGAACTACTACAAAAGGAGCAATGACAGTTCTTAGACTGAATTAGAGCCAATATATCATGTATACAAATAGGTAGGAAAAAAAAGAAAGCTTTGTTTTCTTACTAGTTCCTCAGTTACTTACACTACAGCCTCTTCTGAGGAAAAAAAAGGGAAGACCCAAGTTGTATGAATTGGGAATACCAACATCAAATCCAGGGGAGTTGTTAACACACGGATATTTGTTTAATCTCCCAACTAATGGTATATACTTGAAACCATCAGATGCTATTATCTTCATTTTCTAACAAGATATAATGGAATTCAGCCCCACTAGAAGTCAGGTGCTGCTCAACATACCGATGTGACTTTCGCTCCTCTTTTCTTCTTTTCAGCTCTTTCTTTTTCCTCAATTTCCATATTTTCTTTTTCTATTAAAGATATGAGAGTATTGCAGCGTCTCTGAAACTCCTGAGGAAACAGAAAACAAGTTTTAAATAAAACTAATTTACAAAAATAGCTGAAATTCTTGAATTCCAAAGTACTCCATTTTTAGAGTTGTCTTTATCTTCCGAACCAACACCTCTAAGGACTGATCCAGTCTTTCATTATGTTCAGATGAAGCAAATAATACGCTGCCTGCCAGCATACTTTGCCAGATTTTAGAAAGAGAGGTCTTAGGGTACATCTTCAAAATAGAGAAAAAAAATCCAAACCATCTTCAGCATTACTTTGCTGTGACACACAGAATCTCTTTGCAAAAAGAGAACACACTGCAGAGCTCCAAACTAGCAAAGACCTATGCAACTTTAAGCCTAGAACTCAGTGCTGAATTCTGGTCAAAAAGCACCCAGAAAGTAGGAGGCCCTCAATACTTGTAAGCAGCAAGTCTTCCATGGCATCTGAAAGCAATCTAGATTAAATCACATGATTATTTTTTTTTTTTAAACTATAAATGACATTCTTCAGTGCAACTGCCACAATACTTGCACTGCAGTTAATAAAAGCTGGCTTGGTAAAGAAAAATCCACTTGATTCTTCTATCCCATCAGAAAATAAAAAAATCTCTTATGAAATACAGAGTAAGTACATACTACTGATATTATGTTTTATGCATGGTGGGAACAGCAATTCCACTGGCTTTTCTTCCCTGCTCAAAGAGTAAATATATATATATTCTATCACACTCATGTGGAAGAAACCCCACAGCAAAAGAAAAACCAAAAATCTTCACAATTCAACCACTACAAACCTTCAAATTCCACACAAACCTTGGCATTCAAATTAACAGTCAGCAAGTATGAGAATGCTTGGGTGCGAGCGAGCCCAGCATGTGCTGCAACCCAAACACACAACACTCTTTAGACCCCTAGGGATAACTAAAAGCAGAGAAGAGTAGAAAGATGATCATCCACGTGGCAGAAGCACTTTCACATCATTGGAATCTGTGTACATTGCACTCAGAGGCTTTGGAACAGTAGGTAAAGACTAATGACAACCTGTTCCACACAAAAACAATTACTTCAACCTTTCTGAATGTAAGAGAAATTGACTTGTTTTAAATTCAAGACAAACCATCATCAGAAAGGTGCTGAGAAATAGCCATGCACCATTTGCCTCAAGAGACAAATACTCTAATTTCTCAGGTAAAAAATGTCTGCATAGATAAATTTACTGTAAGAGGTGTTCAGGTTCACACTTGGGAATTCCCAGATGGACTGCCACTCCAGAACATGCTGTGGACAGAGGACTCAAAAACAGCTTTCTCAGGAGAATCACAGAAGCATTTAACATTAATAAGCAGCATGCACACAAATTCCTGCTACACTTATTATCACAGCATGGTGAAATCTGCCTTGAACTACGAAGTACTGTATGGACTGATCCTCATCATTTTAGTGCTATGAAAGTACACCCAGTCTGAAATGCCTTGCACCTTTGGAAATGCAATTTCATTCAGTATGGCCTGATACTTTCCTCTTTAGGATTGAAAGATATAAGGTATACTCTGCTCCCTGCTTTCATGGCTATAACATCTAGTATTGCAGGAAATAAGATGGGTGTGCTGAACCATCATCTCCTTCTGCATGACTGAAGACACAGATGTTGGCATGAGTGTGAAAGTAGAAGTTCAAAGCTCTGTCAACAGAATACTGCTGTATGTACAGTGGGTCATTTTTCTTACACTGGGCAGAGTTTGCAGAAAAGTCAGAGGGCATTCAGAAATGCCCAGAAAACAGAGAGGAGATTCATTATTGTCACAATATTTTGCATTCTTCCTACATGGACAGAAACAAATCAAACATGTATGCCTCCAAGTCCTGTTAAGAAATTTATCACTTTATAGAGCACCTAAGCTCTCTGCAAACTTACATTTTAGATTAAGTTTTTTTTTTTTAAATCTGTTAAAGGAATAAGTCAATGAAACAATTTATTTTTGCTTTCCAATGAGAAATTTACAGAAGAAAAATAAGATGGAAGATAAATCAGCTATTTATGTGGAATTCAAGAGACATCTAGTGGATAGTAGAATGCAAAGTCTTCCTGGAAAGCCCAATCACAAATTCTTTTCAAAATTACACTCCCTGCTTAACTTGTTTCCTATGAGTTTGAATGTAATACAAGGTAACTTTAAGGTTACATGTGAATTTCAGTGTTGTAAGTAGGGGTTTTACCCACTTCCACTAAGCTTACTATGCATATCCCTTTGTAATGATTTCTATTTATACTTAGTATGTAATTCTGGGAATCAAATTATTCTCCAACACTTTTCTTCACAGAAAGTAACAAGCCTGCACAAAACAGATCCACAGAAGTAAATGCTTCCACAAATATCACCATAGCTGTAGGCATAAAATATACTGATTTCTGGCAGTTTAATCTTAACTATCCTAATAACTTAAAGCCATTAAAAAAACAAATGGATATATAAGTGAAAGATTATTTTATCTCTGTATTTTAATACCACTCCTTCAGCTAACAGTAGAAAAACAAGTCAGTATTACTGTATATAGTTTTAAGAGAAAATAATCCAGAATTCACTGTATGCCCTTCCCTTGGTTTCAGCAATAGATAGCAAAACATTTCTATACTTTAGAAAATGACTCCTTTCTCCTTCAAAAATAAAAATTTGAGTGAACGTGTGATTAAGAAGATTTAAACATAAGATCTAACACTACCTCTGACTTAAATATGCCAAGCAAAATTAAAATGTTGAGCCATAATTTTTAATTTCTAGTACCAGTTTCTATGACTTACTTGAATGGATTTCTCCATAGACAACTTAAAATTAACTGAACTTAATACTGGAGGCTTCTTTATGGCTACAATTTTACCATCAGTAATTCTTCAAACTGACATTTCAGCAAGAAAAGCTTGCTATCCTTTTTAATTAAGGGTAACCACTGGACTATCCAGAAACACTTCAATTGCTGAAATGTCAGGCAAAAATTGCACTGTGAAGTTGTAACAGTGGAAAAGCACACATTCCTACCTGTTCAAAAACACACTCGAAGTATTTCAACTTGTTCTGTTATTCTTAGTACTGTACCCACAATTCTGAAAAAACATTTTATTAACATCCTGAAGGAAACTGCATTAAGTAATGCACAAGTTGCTTGGCTGCTACTGAACTATCATAAGTTGCAGCTTTGCATACAATAGTATGTAACATGACCACAATGTAACACTGAATTACAAACTGGTTTACAGGGCAAGAGGGAGTATCTATGATAGCTGCATCCTATGTGTGTTAGCCATGCCCTTCATGCTCTCACACCTTAGAAGTAAGATCACTTTATGTTGAGTATTATAAGAAAAACTGGAAGGACATGTTTCCCATATAAATATGTTCACATACAAATTACACATGTGTTCTTTACATGGTGCAGACTTGTACACTGTATTCATGAATAGGCTCTCAACCAAAATTCAGAGTATTAGTGTATTTATCTACCAAACTTGGATTTATTTTCCAAGAATGAACAAAAATCTCCAGAAAATGATAACTAGAAAGCACTTACACATGAAATCCCTATTAAAAACTACAAAGATAATTTTAAACTAATGATTAGCTCACATTTAGCTCTGAAAACTTCCCTGGGCTTTTAAAAATTAAAGAGCAAAGTTAGAAAAGCTGAAATTTCCTCCAAGTATCTAATTCAGATGTTCTCAGACTTTAATGTTGTCCAATAATTCTGAAGAGCAGCCACATTTTAAGAGATAATTTAAGAGATAACATTAAAACTTCCAGTTTCCAACAGCAGTACCACTGCTACTTGTAAGGCTAGCCTTCTTCTGCATTAGCCCATTTGGGTAGCATGTGACTTGGCAGATTCTGTGCATTGTGCTGTTTGCTGAGCTACAGGAATAGGTTGTTTTTAGAAAAAACTTAAGTGAGAATGAAAGCCAACATTATTTTTTCAGCATGCGTTTCCTAGTTTCCAGTATTCTAGCATGAATCCAAGGTATGTGATGATACTTAAAGGAAAGATACACCTAATAATGACTTAACATAATGACTCAGTCCATGTAACTGATACCTACCATTGCTGTTCTGGATTTGATAAACCAGTCAAATCTGAACTGAGGAGCGTTGCGCACACACTGCCTTAATTCCTCGTACACATTTTCTTTGTCAAAGCCCATCTTGTGCAACATGCAGATCAAAAATCTGTCTTCCTCCTCTGTGTAATTTTTTCCTTTGTTTGTTCCATACTGAATACGCAACTGATGAAAAGGTGCTTTATACCTTGCGATCTGAACAAAAATAACCACAATTAAACATGCAGCATGTCACCATGGATTTATTATATATTAGTGCTGATCACACAGTTACTACATAAAAAGCTAAAACTCCCAGCACCAGTTGCTCCCTTTCTGAAAGGACTGAATATTCTATCCACCTGTAACCACAGGCACAGTAAGAAGCAATCACCCTAAATTAAAAAATCTAGCAGTAATTACTTTGGCATCAAGGGCTTTCTTGATACTGATCCTCCGTTGAATTCTTGCCTCTCCTCGTTCAATTTGAGCCATGATTCTCTCAATGTCCTGCAGTTCATTACAACGTTCCCAGAAAACAGCTAAAAAACAAACCAAAACAATTAGTAAAAAAGTCTTTTCCTTTATTCTTATGCCTTTACTCCATTAAAGCACTCCAGCAGAAAATGTAGTGCAGTTTGTAGATCTGTGAAGTTTTAAGCAATTGGTAATACTCTCCCTTTTACTGTGCTAGCCAAAGACAGCTTGCACAAACTTTCATTCACCATCTTTACAGTCAACTACATAGGTTGCTCCAAAAGTCATGCCTCCTGTGTATTTCCTTGTAAGCTACAATGAATACAAAGAGCACGGTAACACCATTTGATAGAACAAATTCTCAGCTACAAAACACTACTTTTCAACAGTCACCATCATTAATCGACTGCCATTGAAAACACAGAACAAGAGCCTGCATGCCACACCTGTGCACATCTGCACCAGCAGAGATGAGCCCTGTTCACTGCTGCCACTACTGAAACTTACCCCTCTCACCTCTCACTGTGCTCACATGCACTGTTTGGTTTTCATAAATGTTCAGCAAGTGTCAGTGAATGTCAGTGGGCACCATTTGTTCATATGGAGGAATTCAGTTCCACCCCTTTGCCCTTCTATGACACCCTTCCATGTCAGACTGCCCCCCTGCTGCTGTTTGTCACACAGCAACAAAATGTAACAGGACATTAGTGGAAAGGTTCAACTTCTACTGCCATCCCACCAACTTCCACCTCTGATCTTGCAGGCCAACATCATAAAATAAGTGGAATTGCTTGCAGGGCAGCCTTCATATAAGCAATGGTTACTAACAACTGCAAGATGATCTATATCCAAAATAATTAACTAAATTAAATAAAACTGAAAAAAACCTTTTTAAGTGGGCTTCTTATACCAATAGTGAAACTGGTTAGTAACGTGAGTAGACATGCTTTAATGTCAGCTCTCACTTGCTGGTGTTACCTAGTACTTCAGTTATACAAAGAACTTGTAATCTGATTTTCTCCCATCACATCTTTCAATCAACACAAATTCAGCACTTTATAGGGAGCTCCTGATTAACTGTTCTTTTTTTTAAAGTTTTTAAGCAACAGGCAGAACACTGCAAAGTTTTGCTGAAATCCTCCATAAAATTAAATTAATATGAGAATGAAACAAAGAATTCTGAACAAATCAAAAGATACTGCATAAATACCTAGCTAGAATAGGAAATATACCTATAAAGAATTATGTAGCTTCTACAATACAACCTTATGAATCTGCAAGACCATAGCATCAACATTAGTCAACTGTGCCACGCTTCAGATTTCAACTGAGGGATGGATAAGGACAGCTGCAGACATCCTACGCTGCAAACAACTTTTAAAATAATTAAGTAATCTAGGAAGAATTATGACAGTTCAAAGAGTTCTTCCTATATACATCCAAATCCTAAGTCTTACAGAAGAATACGCAGCAAAAATTGTGATATCAGAACTAATATATATATTTCAACAGATCCACGTACCTGAATACTCAATGACCTCCTCAGGTGATTTTCCCTCCACCTCACGGGCAATATTATCTATATCATCACGACCGTATTTCTCATTAGCTTTAATAAACTGATTAAAATCCCTCTTATTCCAGTTTGTAAAACCCTGTAAGCAGCAAGAGATCAAAAAGCCATTACTAAGGAGAAAGGCAACAAGTTTTGTCTTATGTATGTATCATTAGTTCCAACTGGCAATGCCTCTGCAGTGTTACACAGTCACAGTGGCTAACAGTTTTGCAGAATTTCCATAACTCTGATTACCCAGGGCTTATTACTGAATCATTAGAAACTTAAAGACTTTGAGGCTTGGTTTTTTGTTGTTTTTGTTGTTGTTTTATATGACTCCACATGCATTAGTAAGAGCTTTTTAGTTTTCTTCCTCTTAAAAATCTTCTCTACAGTACTCCTGCAAAGAAAAATCTCACTGACAGGTCACTGTAGTTTTATCTAAATCACCCTTCAAAAAGCAACAAGTAGTTTTAGGAGTGGAGGAAGCTCCATTGCAAGTGCCATTCCAAGTTCCTAAAGCAATTGCTGCTATTTACAACATCCACAAATTTTGAACCAAACAAACAGTTGGATGAAAATTTAACTATGTCAAGAAAAAAAAACTCAAGTCTGAAAAGATGCAGTCAAACAAATTCTACAGCACTGTCAAATAGAAAACATGTTGTGTACTGAAGTGAATTCAGAACTGAACAACAGTTAAGTGAAATGCAATGCACAAAAACATCATTCAAGAAAGACATTATGTTTTCAAGACAGGAAGAGAAGAAAACATCAACAATGTAAAAATACAAGCCATGTGCCTTAACAGCAACTTGTAAGAGTATTTCTGTAATGAAAAAAGCACAAGGAACTCTGTCAGTTCTACAGCTGACTCTATTAGAAAGCTTCTTTACAAGTTTAATATACACAATAATATACACAATAAAAAGATTTTTAATCAATCATCAACAGCAGTACTGACACATACACCAACAACAGCTTAGCATTTCCTCTACTATAAACAGGTGAGATTAACAGTCAAATTGTGACCTTGCCAATTTCAAGGTACACAAAGCTCAATTGTTTCAGAGAGAGCCTGTTACTTTGGAGATACACCTTTCTCCTTACAAATTAGCTTTTAATAAGCCTAGTTCAGCAATGTAACAGCCCAAAATATCAAGAAACTAGCAGCGATAGAAAGACAGCCATGGCAGAAAAAGAACATGCCTAACTAAACTGGGGCAGAACTCATGAAAGTGACACACTGCTTTATACAGCTGTGTGAAAAGCATATGTTGATAGCAACTTGTCCTCTCCAACTAAAACCTTTTGACTGAAATCAACAGACAGGTGCAGGTAGAAGGAAGCCACTGGGCTTCTCCAGGGACTGCTGGGCAGGACACTGACTGCACAGACTTTGCCTCAGAAATAATGCAGACATTCAAGGAACAAGAGCTGACTAGGAAAGCTAAGAAACTTACTCAAGGACAGGAAAGGTCACTCAGAAGAAAAGCAAGTCAGAACCGTTGTATCTCTCTGTAACTTCAGAGTAACTTTCCTTTCCAAGTGGCATCATTATTACTTTGTATTTATGTTCCATGCCAGTGAAAGTAATTATATGTATTTACTTATATGAATATATTATATTTATACACACAATGTAATACTTGACCTGTTCTCATTTTACCTGTGTTAGTAGTTTCTCCTTCTCTTCAGTTTCTTCAGGATTCAGAGGCATAGACTCATCTATCTTCTTTTGTTCTTCTTTTTGCACCTGAGCTGCATTGGGTAGGTCAGGATTCCTGGGAACCTAAGATCCAAGGCATCAATAGGCAATAATCAAATGTTACTAAAGACACGTTTTGATGAATCCTGTTTTACCATCTAGAAGTGCATGTTAAATCTCACAGGACTGAGGTGGTAACCTGCACCCACTAAACATCTGTTATCACAGAGCAAATCCAAAAAAGAACATCCCACACCTTGGCTACCCTGAAGGAACAAAGCCATAATAAAAATATTTTTAAATACCAGATGACTAAGATACTTTTGTGGCTATTTAACTACTGCAAAATTGAATATCCTCCTGTAAGACAAGATAATGTATTTATCATTTATCTCTGCTTGTTCCTTCTTGTCTCATGTAAGAAATGGAAAGTTGCTTCACATGTAAGTAATAAGAGGACCTACTCTACTTTTCTTTAAGAAGCTTCAGTTTATCAAGGTATTATCTTCGATCTGTTGTCCTCTCCTCTCTAAAACATACTTTATGAACTTTTCCATGTACATATTTTAATTGGTAGGTGAACTGCTATTGCAAATAAAAGCTTTGCATCAGAGTTGTATTATGCTTCCTATGTCTAGCCATCTAACAGCCTTAATCCATTTTCCTGTATTCATGTTTCGTTTCATTTCTGAAGTCTTACACTTCTCTTTCACCTGGCATTCCTTCAGTTTTCAGAAGTGAGCAGTGACCAAAACATCCTTCTTTCCCTTCTAGGCCTTCAGTTTCAGTCTTCTCAACTCCAATTTCAACCCTCAACCTCACTGAGGCATTCATTGAAGAATTTCTTTCCTTCAGCTAATTTTACTTCCTTTAATTCTCATCTATCCTGCCATTTACAGAAAAATCTTTTTGCTTCCCACTAGGCATTAAAGACACCTTTTGCCCTTCTGCCTTCCCTTAAAAACAAAAACACCAAAAAAACATGTTGCTAATATTTGTTCTACTTTTTTGCAACAGCAGTTTCCTATCTTGCCTCATATGACAGTTTATGTTCTCCACCACATTTTACAAATGCTTTCCCCTTGTCACAATCTGTCATGAGATATGGTTGTTTTGCAGTGAGGTATGTGTCTTTTGCAGTGAGGTATGTGTCTGGAAGTAGGGGGATCTAATCCAGTTAATCAACCAACAGTGGCACAAGCAATGAAAATCAACATCAGAACATAATCAATGCTCACTGTTTGCCTGGTAATGTCAGCAGAGGAGAGGGGGAAATTCTGCTAACACAGTAGGGGAAAAAAAGGTAAGCCTCCTGTCTTTTCTTTTGTAACAGTAATACATTCAGTCTTGACATCTTTAAACATTTTATATCTCAACAAAATGCAAGGAAAATTGATGTCACTTTGCCTACCATCATACCAACACAAAGCTGACTCCAATATTACCTGAAGTTACTTTCTGCATAAGATACACAACAACTATGAAAACCCACCCCATGCTCAGGAAGGTGATCTTATATTTGTCAAAAACTATTTTCTCACCTTAGAACACATTTTTTTTTGTGAGAAAAAGTGTATTAAGCATCGGAACTGCCTTCAGTTTTTCCATTCAGATTTATTGCTAGGAACCCACCACAAAACATGAGGATACCCACATATGACATTTTTAATAGAGGAAGGAATTAGACAACTTTCTACTCTATTATGGAACAGAAACAGGAGGAGAGACTTCAAGCCATTTTCATTCAAAATGAGAAACACATTTTAAAAAATAAGACCATAACAATAATTTAATAAAGTCTTATTTACTTTATTAGCTCTTTTCAAAGAGGAATAAAAATGCTGTTTATGAATTTAAAGTGGGGATGGAGAGGCAGAGGAGGAAAGAAAAAGCATTACCTTATACCCTATTGTCTTACGATAATACAGAATTTCTTTTTCCAGAAGTTCAAATAACCGTGGTGGAAAGAACTGGAAATCCTGAATATTTGGCTGTTTTGGAGGTCGTGGAGCCTTTAAACACAGATAGGTATATTAACATTACATAAGCTTGATTTCAAGTATTTAAACTACCATAAGTGAACACATTAATTTTACTATCAGTACAGGGTGAGAGCAGGGGATGCAATAGGGGAGAACAGAAAAGCCAAAGCAGCACAAAAATAATTTCCATACTCGCCAGTTTCTTACCTTTGGGACTTTGGGTTCACTAACACGTAGGGCTTCTCTGAAATACGCATCAACTGCGTAATTAGCTTTGCGTTCTCGTTTGGGAGGCTCTATCCATTCCATCATGCTCAGCTACAAACAGAATTGAATGACAATATATTGAAGAACAGTTAGGGCACGCTATAGCCTTGCTGTGGCACAGGCAGATACCTTTACAGTACTCTACTGACTTTGGTCACTTGAGGGAAGTTATGATTTTATCTACTCAAACACCATTAATGGTCTCAGGCTTTAAATTCTATCATCTATTATGTTACAACTGAATTGCTTCTCTAAATATCCCAATTAATAAACTCTACAAGAACTACAACGTTGGCAAAAAATCCATTAGATAGCAGTGATTTAATCTTACTGAAGGACCTCAATTAAACATCATTAAACTTACAAAATCATACTTCAAGACTGTGCTGTATTAAGCTGACTTCTTGTAATGAAGTTATCAAGAAAAATCCTGATGCTTGTGCAGAGTTAAGTGAATTCCTCAGTGATTTCTACCTTCTCTAGCACAGCCTTTTTAGCCACAACGTTTCTAGAGGACCAAGCATACATGCTATGCTAAACTGAGCTCTCAAAGACTTGCCATCCTAAGGAAAATTACCTTTTGTTTTTCTCTATAATCTTCACCTTCAAAGTTGTATAAGCTCATCTCTGTGTCCATAGTGAAATTTCTTAAAGAGCTCTCCCCCATTTTCTGCAGTCGTTCATTCATTTCAGCTGTCTAAAATAAAAGATGATATTTTTAGGCTTACTCTGTTTGTTCTGTTTTCAAAGAAAAAGCATTCATCATTATTAATATCATTTTTCATGTTGTTTTTTTTATGCTTTACACTTTTACTTATATTTTTATTATCCAGGAGAGATGCCCACAGCATTTTCCAATTTTGAACTGACTCTAAGCCTTCCCATTGAACTGAAACTACAAATGCTATGATGTGGCCCTTACAATTATATGATTTAACTTCAGATTTAAATGAAATTTATGCCCAACACTTTGGAGCTGAAGTGGTAGTTCATTTTTTTCCCCACAAAGCTGCCCATTCCTCAGTGAAGTTCCATAAAGATTTTGTGTCGATTAGAATTGTTGGCATAAAATTTACATGTTTCTAAAAACCCCATAAATTAAACAATGCTTAAGATGCAGTGCTCAGTCTGAAATGGTGGAAGTAATTACAACTCACTACTCCTACTCCTTCCAAGCTCTCAGAAGCTTTGAAATATTTATGAATAGTGAAGTAATAGGTGGGCATATAAAACAGATTTACATAATAATTACACCGTTCTTGTCGTCTTCTGTAAAATACACTTTGCATATCTATTTTTAATGCTTGACACACTTCAAAATCTATATAAAACTGCTCTAACCTTCTTTTCTCCTCTTTCTAAAATAGTGGTTATGTCTTCTTCTGTCAGCTCACTATCTTTGGAAGCAAAGACGTGTGTAGCTCCATGTCGGATCATTTGCAGCATTTCATCTTTTGCCAGTTTGTTAGACTGCTGGTCTATGAGCCTCCCTAGAATTAGAAGAAATATTAGAAAAGCTATAGAAAAGGTAAAAGTTCCAATAAAAATATGAATCCAGAGGATTTTTACAGTTCTGACAGCAAAGAAAAAAACAAAAAACAAAGAACCAAAGAAAAAAGTTGCGTTTTAACATAAGCTGAAAATAAACAGAAATTGGAAACTTCTAGGAAAATATAGAATGCAACAATAGGTCATGGATCAAGCCATGGCAAACAATTCCACATTCGGATAATACATTTTGTATTTATGGTACTACTCTTGCAAAGTTAGCTGAATATTAAGACCCTATTTCGAAATTAAGAGTGACAAATTATTCTTGAATAACCACTGAGTAGTATTCAATCTCTTTAACACTTGCTTCACTGATTTTGACCCATATGTGAATGCTTTAGTTTTTCATAGAACTCTATTCCCTGCTCCAAAATTTCACCAGCCTGGTTTCCACAGACCATCATGATTTTGACCAGTATTCATTCAGCAGCCCATTCTTTCAGAAAGGAACAATTAAATGGCTTACAAACTTCACAAACTCAGCTACAGAACTTTGGTTTTCAACAAGCTATTCTTCCCCAAGCTTTTAAACAAAGTCACACAAAGGAGCTTTAATCTTTACTAAGCTCAGATGCGGTAAGAAGTACAGCTATTCTTCAGTACCTTGTTCATTTAGAATACTCACATCGCTCAAGGAAACAGTTCTTCCAAAAATTTCAGCTGAACAATTGAATAACTTCTGCATTATATTTGAATTTAGCATACTGTTATTACACACAAGGCCTGCTTTCTCTCTGGCTGTACTTCTGTACAGCTGTTTTACAAATACTTAAAGGTACTGAACAACTCTGTTGCAGAAAAAATATATAGCAGTTGATACCTTGTTGTATAACTATAGAGTCCAGCCTCAGTTTTATTTCAGCTCTTTCTACAATCCTCTCTTCAACAGTATTATCAGTGATAAGTCGGAACACCCGTACTGGTTTCTTTTGACCAATACGATGCGCACGATCCTAACAAACATAAATTAATGAGTGTTCAGCAGCAGAACTCACAAGCAATAGACAGTTAGCTTGCTACATAGGCAGAAACATCAAGCTGAAGCTAGCATTTCTTGGCTCCTTGCTTATTCAGCAGAATACAACAGTTGCCTAGCTATATAGCTGGCTATTACACCTTTTAAATTTGAGGTTCTTCTATTGTAATAAATATATCTGCTTCACTGTAAATGTACATAATTAAATGTCTGTGTAAACTGCAGCTGTGAGATTTATGTACACAAGCCCACGCTACATTCACAACAGAAGCACTGAAACATAGCATCCTTGGTTTGACAGCATTAATTCCACATGCAAAGCCCATGCAGCTACAGCTTCAATACCACAGCTGTCCCAAGTTGGCTACATCAAATCATCAGTACAGAGCTCACAGTGTACAGTATGTGAAGCTACAACTAACATACTGTATTTACATGTATCAGAACAGGTGGTTATTCTCTCTGCAAAATATGAATACAAATATTGTCTTCAATTAAAAAAAGTGGTCCTTTTGAGTGCTGGCACCAGCATTCTTTGACTGTCCTTTTAAACAAGATTTGTTATGTATGATATTCCTGAAATTCCTGAAGCTCACAAGTCACACTCAGCAGTTCCCAGGAATTTTATCTATGACTGGTAAGCAACATGCATCTCAGAAGGAAGTGTGACATATTCACAGCAAATACACAACACACTTAACATTCAAAAGCAGAACTGCCCCAAGCATGCAGGAAGGCTTACGACATTTTTAATCCACAAATTAAATAACTTGATTTTAGAAATTAATTAGCAGTCAGAAAGAGAAAACATTCAAAATCAAGCATTAGGGTTTCTTTTCCCTTCTTTACAAGTAAATGATGTTACACTTCTGCAAGGAGAAAAAAAGGCAATTTGCAGAAGCATAAGGTTTCCAGAAAGGTTCAATACAATGCTGGATGTTTTTGATCTTTTCCTATTACTTTGGAAACAGCCAAAGTACTTTATCTGATTCCTTAGTTCACTGGTAATAGATTTTAAAAAGAAATGAAAAATAACTAAAAAGAAAGTTCTGGAAATACTCCAACTTGAACAACAACAACAACAACTTCAAACCACCATGTGTCAGATGATTAACTCACCATGGCTTGCAGATCTACTTGAGGGTTCCAATCTGAATCATAGAGAATAACCACATCAGCAGTTGCCAAATTAATTCCTAGACCCCCAGCTCTGGTACTCAACATGAAAATGAATTTACTGCTGTTGGGAGCATTAAATGTATCTATGGCTTCCTAAAAGAGAAGAGTATTTTTAATGCATTACAGTTGTTTCCAAAACACTGGTGAGTTTTCAAAGAAATGCCTTCAGAGTTCTAAAAAGTGTTTTATGACAGTACCAGAAGCAACCATGTGGATATTTTCACATGTGCAAACCTACTCAGAGTAAACAGAAGACTCAGTTGTTCAGTTAGGAACAGTTGAGGAATGCATGAAACCTACTGTACTTTTCGATAGGAAAGAAGTCTTAGCTGCCCTTCTAAACTGTAGCATTTTTTTCTTTATTTTAGTGAATAATTCCTTCTAAGGAATGACAAGTATCATTCCTTAATGTATTATATACCTAATCACAACAACAGTTTAATAATGAATTAAGGCATAAACCAGACATTTCTTGCTTACATGTGTGTCTTACCTCTCTTTCCTCATGTGGTGTCTGCCCATCAAGTCGGCAGTACTCGTACCCTCGCCACATGCAATAGTCTTCCAAAATATCCAATAAACGGGTCATCTGACTGAAAAGTAGCACTCTGGAACCTGACAGAACACAGAAGCTTCAGTTGGTTTTATGTTTTTAAGTTAGTTTTTACAGAGGTATAGCGCTAATTCAAATAAGTCTCTATCAGTCTTCAAATAAGTCTTTATAAAAAGTTCCTTTTCTGATATTAACTTCTCCTTAAGACAGGTTATTTGATATTCTCTATAGAAATATACAACTTAAACATAGTAAGATGTGCAGACACCAATCCTCTCATCAGAAAAATTCCTAGTCTCTTCTCTAACAGTAGAAACTTTTCCTTCTACTTAATCATATCACTAGTCTTCCTCACCATTCTTATAAGGCTTCCTTCCACCCCTCCATGCATTAAGGTCTACTGAAAACTGATTTTCCAAAGAAAACCTCACTGAAAATAACACATTCACTGAAGACAACGAGTCTCTGCATGCTTTAAAAACTTAATTTTTTTTCCTATGAGGACTGCTTAGATCTTTGCTGCTCACAAGCTCAACTCACCTTGCTCTCTGAGTTTTGCCAGCAGTTTATCCAGAACTAACATTTTACCGCTGTTAGTGATGAGATGTGTGTCAGTGGTGTAAGGAGGGCCAGGCTCAGCACCATCGAACAGATAAGGATGGTTACAGCATTTCCGTAACTGCATCAGAATGTTCAGCAGACGCATCTTATCCATTTTCCCAGCTGAATTTAGGATATCAATATCTTTCATCAAGATCCTTGTATACCTGAAGTTTTACAGGCAATTTTGAATAACTCTCAGTTTTTATTTCATATTTGAAGCATGAATGAAATCTGCAAATCCCAATTACTAATTTCCAGAAGCAGGAGCAGTTTCTGTTTACTTAGATAATGAGCCATTTTATTATCAAACCTGGAGAAAACATCTGACTGATACTAAGCACTTATAAATCAATACCTAACACAAAAGGCAACTTGCCTGCAAGTGTCAGTGATCTGTCACTCACAGGGTTTTCTTCAGCTTTTCTTACATATGACTATGAAGTTGATTAAAGATCTCACTGATTCTCCTGAAGCTGCTACGCTGACCTGACATTTTCGTTTTCACTCTTCCTTGGGTACATGGCTCCTGTGGCCACAGGTATTTTCAACTCTGAGACTCATACTGGCACATACCTAGTTGCATTTAACAAAAATAAATAAAAATGAAACTTAACAGGCATACATTTTTTCAAATAAACTTAAGGAAGGAAAGAAAGGTTCTGCTTTATTCTTCCCACCCCCTTTTATTACAGTTCCTGAGTTTTTCACAGCTTGTGCACCTTTACAATGCCCCCAAAATAGCTACAAATAGGCTTCTCCATTTGACTGCCTTAATGTGCAGCTACCAAGAAAAAGTCTTCACAAAGAGTTGTAGTGTTCTTTATCAGAAAAGAATCTTACTTTAGTGTAAGAAACTCACCATTCCCTCTGCATTTTGCTGAGTCCAAGATAAATTTTTACTTCTTTCTTTGGAGGCAAACTCTTTTCAACTTCAGCCTTTATGCGACGCAATAAAAATGGCTTCAAAACCTACATAAAGAGTTTTTTCAAAGACACATTTACTTAAAACTGATCATCTGAAATACAAAGTTATTACATTAATTTGTGACATCTACTCCAAACTAATCAATATCTACTGCTGTCACGGTGACTCCTTCTGAACAATTCTGCTACAATCTGCAAAAGAATGAAGTGTCCACCACTACACTCCCAAGTTCACACTAAAAATGCACAGTATTACAGACTGCAATACTCATCCCAGCTGCTGGCCTGAGCAAGAACCAAATCCTTATAAAGTCTACTTCCCTTTATAGTCTAGTTTTTCTCCTCTAGAGATGTGAACAAATTACATCAAGATTTCAAAGATAAGCACTGTATATTAGACTTCTTTTGTTGTAAGTGATAAAATAAATCAGAAAGAAGTCTTAAGTCATTCATAGCAAACCAAAGATGAAAACGTGCCTCTCGAGGCTTGCATGAAGGCTGTATTAGATGAGTACTCAGGATAATAAATTGTTTCCAAAAGGTCTCAAAATTAGCTTTGTATTTTATGCACAGATTTGGTCTGCTTCAGAACAGTAACACTACAAAAAGCAATGACTGAACAGCAAGTTCTAGCATTTCATATTCATTCAGCTGGGTGTTTCTGTAATTCAGCATCTTCACATTCATCTTAACTTTGACTAAGACAAAAAGAGGAACATTCTTTTATTTACTTATTTTATACCACGTATGCTAATGATGACACTTGATAAAAGCTTTACTTACAGCATGAAGTCTTTCTACAAGTTTCTGATCACCAAGACAATTTTTGGTATCAAACCACGAGTCAAAATCCTGTGGGAAGAAGCAGCACAACTAGCATGAACTATTTTTACTATCTGTGGTGATAACAGACACATATTGATTCTCTTTCACCCCAGCTGAGTGACAAATGATTTCTATGAGTAAAAGAGAAGTGGTGCCACAATTCTTTACCAGCTACCCAGAAGGTTACAACATTTAAGTCAACTGAGTAACTCCACTGACAAAAACATTACTACTATGTCCCTTTTCCAATGTTACTCCATGCTCGCCACTGAAGTATGCACATTCCTACCCTTAGCACTTGTTAATGGTGGGGCAAGAGTTAAAAGAGACAAAATCCTGAAGAAATAAATGTGATTGAAAACATAACAGCAAAAACAATGCAAGTAATGCACAGACATGGGACCATAAACAGTGAAAGATGACTCCAATTCTCAACGAAGAAAGCTTATGCACATTTGGATGTGCTACAGTCTCCATTCTATACTGCCTTCCCAAGTTCTACTCCACTCTGCAAAACTATTTTTCTGAAGTACTGAATTGTTAATGCCAGTCTGAGGCCTTATCTGCACTAACATAACACACTATCTTAACTAGATTCAGCAAAAAAAAAAAACACAAGAAAAGTCCATAGTTAGGCAAAGTCACAGAGCTCCTATTGAATCCAAGTTTTCTATATCTGATGTCTCTTAGTAGGCTGAACATCTTCTACAGAAAGCACCTTCAGAATCAAAACAAGATTTTATTTCCAAATAAAACTACTTACATCTGCAGAATTAAAGACATCAGGTAGAAGAAAATTAAGCAATGCCCACAGTTCATGAAGGTTATTCTGTAAAGGAGTCCCTGTAAGCAGCAATCTGTTTGTTGTCTTGAACTCCCGGACAATCTCTGACAGCTGGGAATACAATGAATAGTTGTCATCATAATGTACATTTAACAATCTATTTTCATTGGTTTCTGAAACATGAAATCACATGAACTTTCTAAAGACAGGGGGGATATTGAAAATTATAGCCCATCGGCTCACAGCAAAAGATCAAAAACCCCGCATATTTAATACTAAAAAATTGCTAACACCAGAGAGAACATTGTATAAAAATCTTAAAAAGATCAAATATTTGAGCTTACCTTAGACTTCTCATTCTTTATTCTGTGTGCTTCATCAATTACCAGGTACCTCCAGTTAAATTTTTTGAAGACTGATTTCTCTTTAATGACCATTTCATATGATGTAACACAAACATCCCATTCACCAGGCATCATAACATCACGAATAAAAGCAGCCTGCAGCACAGCAAGTGAATTAATAAGCTTTTATCAAGTAGCAGTATCTTTGCAATGCATGAAAATCTCTCTGCCAACAGTATTGAAGCACTACGCACACAAAACAAGCTTGAAAAATACTTTGTATAACTGAAAGTTACTAAAGCTTCCAATCCTTTCCACTTCATGGGGGAAATTATTTTGTACAGAATTAGATATTTACTCCTTAGTGTATTTTCTTTCTGTAGTTGAAGTACAGTACAAACTACTAAGGGAGTGAAAGAAAAACACCACACTAAACTACCCAGTCCAAAACACCACCATCAGGAAAGCAGTTTTAAAACAGCCCATCTATTCCCCCTCCACTCTCCTTCATAAAGGAGCAATAGAGCTCCATACAGTCCATCTGGAGAACCAAAGAAGTCATTCCCCACCTCAAGCAACAAGCCACCCCCCACTGAACTTAAAGCCTACACTAAGAGGAATGGAAGCTCTACAACAGAAGCCTAATTAGAGGGCTGAGCATGGACACTGGATGCAAGTACAAAGGGGGAGCATCACCTAAAGCAAGTGAAGACAGAGGCAACAAGGTGAGAACAATAAAGGAAAATGAATAAAACTGTCACAATGCAAATACAGAGGAGATCAAAGACAGTGCAAAAATCAAGGAGGAACACAACAGAAAAGGTTAGTCACAGACAGCTGTACTTCAATACCAATTTATTGTTTCACTTACTGATTTGCATTTTAACCTCAAAGTTACAAGCATAACATTTTGCATTTTCAATGCTAACATAGTTAAAGACTACTGAAAAATACTGTAATTAGGAAAATAGCTTAAGAAGGGTTCCATGCCCCCAGATGGTGGTTTCTGATAGAAAAACAGACATGGTTTAAATGTATTACACTTACTCTGGCATCTTTATCTCCAATAAGGCAAACAGCACGTAATGAAGGAACCCAGCGTTTAAATTCATTCATCCAGTTGTGCAGAGTTGATTTTGGAACCAGGACCATATGTGGCCCAGGAATGTTTCGATAATGCTTCAGATAGCCCAACAGTGCTATTGTTTGCAGAGTCTTACCAAGACCCTACATTGACAAAGGGAAGAGAGAAACCTTCTGAAACAAGACATGATACAGAAATACCTTCAAGCAATTTTCCTAGTATAGCACTTTACTGCAAGGTACATGGCAGAAATTTGCCATACAGTTCTAGATGTGAAAAAAACTGCTGCAAAATGGCACATACTACTTGCTGCATATACAGTAAATACTAGAGGTACTTCAGTGTCAGAATTTTGCCTAAAACAACATCCACTGAACAAACATTCAAATCCATGTTAACTTATCTTGTTTCATCATTCATAATTATTCTATTTTGACCAAAGAACTCTTCAAATACTCTAAAGATATAGTAACTTGAACTCCAGATGCAAAGAAACTAAAGAAACTAATTTTGTTTTTCAAACAAAATTAAAGCGAAGTTGAGCATGAAAATCTTGGACTCTGAGGCTGCACAAATTCATCCTTCTGGGCAGTGCTGAAGGAAGGAATGTGCACACTGTTGTTACTTATGAACATACTAGTCACATACAAAACAATAAATATGAATCCATTTCTATCTATTTGAATTACACACTGACTCCCATTTAGTATTTACGTAACTGGAATAGTCACTCCTTGAATAATCTCTCTTCCATGTATTTTTTTACTAAGAATAATGTAATGCACAAAGCACAACGTACATTCACTGATGAGAAACTGAAGGATATAAAATATAAGAAAATATACAAATTAATTGGAAGTGGCAGAAAAGGATGGTGAACTCCCACAGAAATTTCCAAAGATTACTACTTACCATTTCATCTGCCAGAATGCCATTAACGCCATTTTCATACAATGAGATCATCCAGTTCAGACCTCTGACTTGATAATCTCTTAGCGTTCCTCCTTTCACATCTGCAAATGTAACACTTCTCTAAGTAGAAGAACACTAAGTATAACATTTTAATTGTGTTCTGCTCATCAGCTTCTCATCACTTCAAAGCATCAGAGTACTCACATGAAGGAGACTCCTCAAATCGAATACACACATTAGATGTTTTTCGACTTTCTGATAACAGTTCTTCATCTTCTTCTTGTTCTGTGCGCCTGTGACGATAACTAAAGAACACAAGATGTGTACAGGAGAAATTCAAAACACTGGCTATAAAACCTAAAAAGAAATTACCACAAAAATGATCATTTATCCACAATGAGCATCTATGTTCCAGCACTGTGATCTTTGGCCAAAATCACATGCTGTTTGTCATCTATTCATTCTGGCTCATTCCAGCTGTAACTTGGAAGACTGATACGCATCTCTCTCCTCCAGAGTCATAGCCACACTGACAGGTATCAAACATTCCTTAAGGCACATTTTAACGAGCAACATAGCAATACAACACCCACAACAGTGGTGAACTTAGAATTAATTACTTGTTAAGTATACCGTTAAGAAAATTCATTTACTTGATTCCAAAAATATTTTTATGAATTGATTAAAAAAAAAGTGTTATTCTGTAAACACTTCAAAAATTTTGTGTTCATTTATACATAATCCCTCAGCAGCACTACGTGCAGTGTAGATCTGGATTAGGGACTAGCATAGAAAGACCTGTGCAGTGAGGCAGTTCATGCTGAGGATCCAAGCCCAGCACTACTGACACTGTTTGAACTTGGTCTACCTCTGCTCTGGTCCCACTGACATGTCCACGAGTGGCTGGAGCAGACCTGCTGTGTTTCTGGAAAGCATCTTGTAGTGGAGTGTCATGCAAAAGAAATTCAGTTCATGCCATCCTCACAGACCAGAGCATGGTAAACAGCAATAACCAAGGATTTTACTTTAGAGGTGCTCTCCTGATCCAAGATCATACTAATGCAGAGGATCCAACATGCACACACAAATCCACTTTTAAAGAAACTTTTAAACACCACTGACTACAAAAGTTCTGGTCTTAAAGCACACTCTCTATTACTGAATAGATACATTAAAATGAATAATTTTCTTGGAAAGTTAAGACAGAAATAACAATTAAACATACTCCCCAGCTGAGATCAAACTCTGCTTTTCATCCTTCTTTATCCGTGGACGTCCCAGCTTGACTTTCAATGGAGATGTTGGTGACTTTTGTGCTGCAGGCTGGATAAAATGAGCGAAGAGTTCTGTCTGCTTCAGGAGGAACTCAAATCTTTTTGCACGATCTGCTTTCTAGTTTCGAGAGAGAAATGAAATCAGTAACTGTTCTTCATAGAAAAAAAAGTGTATTTTTGTCAAGAAATAGAATTCAGATACTTATGAAGACAACTGAGCATAGACTCAGAAGACTGCCTACTCTCAACCAACTAAGAGGTCTGCAGACAACACAAAGCAGCTCTTGAGCTCCTACTGCTTACAACTTTGCATCTTTAGCACTCAGTTGTAATTTGCTGTAGTTCAGAAGGTCCTTCACTAATACCACTTTATATGGGATGCAAATCAAGAGCTGATAGCCTCATTCCCACAACTCATCTCCCTTCAAAACCCCAAAATTAATAAAAACAACTCAAAGTTTACTTGGATATATTCCTTATGATGACACAGCACCCCAGTAACTGCAAGGGTGTGCTTCAAACAATACTTTGAAAGCATCAGTTTTGAATCTTAGCCTTTCACTTGTCAGTATCAAGACTTTCTGGACCTCACCCAGGACGACACTGTGGTAGCTCTACTTTTAGAAGTATGACAGAAATAACAGGGAAGCACAAGCTCAATACTGCTTGCACTAAAGGTAGGGGCATTTGCTCTCAGATTTCCAATTTCAATCATGAAGCACATGCACTTAACTATATGAGCACAGCAAAACACTGTGACCTCTATATATACACGATTTAAATGTTTTTTTAAAAAATTAGGACAAAATGCAGAATCTATCAGGTTAAATACAATTGCTAACACTTCTTCTATGCCATTTCTGAGCATCACATAATGCTGCATCACTTAAACCAGCTCTCATGTGATTAATTTTGTAGGTTACGGTGATACATAAAGTTAAACTGTAGTTTTGTACCATATATTTCCTAAAAAATGTGAACAACAGAATGCTTTTCTGTAGATAACTTACACATAAAAGCATATGCCACAGCACCAATTGGTCAAAGAAAAAGGTAGTGAATGAATCCGGAATGCAAGGCAACGTCTTGCCACATGAGGGCAACATACTCACAATACACTGATTTTAGAAGTGAATAACCTGTCACACAACACTTCCAGTTTATCATTCAGCTCATCAACAAACAGATTTACTTGTGTTTTCTATGTCTAAAAATTAAGTAGTCATTCAGGTATGAACTTTTCTACATCTAACAGTGATACTCTTCCCTGGCTCTTGTGGCTTCACAAATACTACTGCAATTATTAAGCACCCATTTAATGTTAAAGCTTCTAAGAAAAAAAAGCATCTTCATCTAAGAACTTAACTACATGAACAAGGTTTGCAAAGTCTACCTATCTCTGCTTTTTTAATACAAAAGTTATCCAATTATCTCCTTCAGCGCTCCCTTAATTTCTGTCCTAGACAGATCCTCTTTTGCACTGAGTACATTTTATGAGGCATATCAATATTTGAAACCTTTGTATTTTTGTATAAGAAACTAGCAGCTTCAATACTGCTTTCATTTAAGTGACCTCCTTTCATTTGGTGATTGGAAAAAGAGAAACAACACTCTTGATTCTAGGAAAGGGAGAAAGGAAGACCTAGGGAACTACAGGCCAGTGAACCTCACCTCTGCACATGGGAAGACTGTGGAGCAGATCCTCTTGGAAGATAAATTAAGGCACACATGAGATTGGAGGTGACCCAAGATGGCCAGCACAGCTTCACCACGGGCAGAGTGTGACTGACCAACCTGCTGGCCCTTCTAAGATAGAGGAATAGACAAGGGAAAGGCAACTGATGTTGCCCACCTGAACTTCAGCAAGGCTTCTAACAGGGTTCCACACCACATCCTTACCTCTAAATTGGGGAAATACAGATTTGAAGGTTGGACTATTTGGTAGATAACAATTGGTTGGATGGTCACAGCCTGAGGGCTGTGGTCAACAGCTTTACACTCACGTGGGGGCCACTGTCAGGTGGTGTCCCCCAGGGGTTCCCCTTGTTTTCTCTTTCCTATATATCCTGCCTGCAGGAACTTCTTATTACTTGCAACTCTGATACAATTCAAGCAAACAAAGGCTAAAAAAATGCTGCAGCATCTTTTGTTGTGAAAATACTTACCATCTTCTCTTCATATTCTGGGTCAACCTCTTTCTCAGGCCTGGCTGCCTTCGGAGGAAGTTTGAGTTGAAATGGAGGATCATTTTTCTGGAATTCAAATTGCAAATATCAGCATCTTCATTTAACAAAGCAAAGATAACATTTTAAAAACTAATTATTTCAACAGGCAATGATTGCATTACATCACCCAAAACATAATTCACGATGTTACTAAGAAGTAGAAGAGGTGGCTAGATAAAATGTAAAAATAAACATGAGGATGAGACTCAGCTTCAATTTACAAGTAGGATCCAAGTTGAAAGAACTGAAGCAAAGCACTAGGAGAGGGCCAAGTTCAGTTTATCACAGAAATCTTACTTGAAACGCATAAATTCAGTATCTTGAAAAGATATTTAAAAAAATAAATGTGAAAACTGTAAATAAGTGTCTTCACTCTTACTGTTGCACTTCCAGGTGAAGAACTGGAGTTCAAAAGCCTCAAAGTGAGACTGTAAACTAAACTATTCAGGGCCTGGTAGCAAAACCTGACCGAAACAGTACTAAATATCTAACAGCTTGTCAAGCAGAATTATGCTTACTTACATGTCAGAATTGTTACTGATAAAAGAATCTGCCACGTTACTCTTTCACTTTAGGCAGAGGGATGCAAATGGGATGAACAATTCCTGATGCTGAAGAACGCTTTTAAAGTTTTGGCCCAAAGATACAACTCTGTGGTGACAAGCACTACTAAGTATATAATTAAGCTGTTTGATTATTCAATGATTTTCTAACTGCCCGTGTTCAGTTGCACAAGACTAAGCAGTTTAGTTGCAGGAAGCATTCAAAACATTCTACATTAAGTCACCCTTTATATACATATTTATTTCCCGAGTTAAGCAAGTAGATGAACAGAGGTGTAAAGTTCATGCAGCTCCAGCAGTGTAACTGCACAGCCTACACTTCAAGTCTCAAGGCAGAACACATTTATGTCCCTGCTGCCCCTCACTTCTCATCACAGCATTTCTACTGATGGCACCAAAATAGTAGGGAAACCCAAACAAACCAAAGCAGACTACCAAAACCTGATGACAACAGTGTAAGACACACACAGCACAAGATCCTCCTGATCACTCAGCAGGAAAAAAGCATGCCGTGCTTCCACTGGAGTGCTGCGGTTCTGTGCTATGGAGCTGACAGGTAGCAGGAACAACCATCACAGTCCAAAAACAACAGTCATCAGCCGCTTCAAGGATCCAAAATGCTGCCTTTGACATCTCTGCCAGCTGGACCAAAAAAGCCCTGAGTGCAACAGTCCTAAGCCAGGTGGGTCACCGCACACTCAAGTAAGTATTGCAAGAAGCTTCAGTTTGCTCCACTCATGCGACCAAGTATTTTGAGCATGCGTTATGAACCACAAGCAAACACCTGGGCATCCACTGTGAGTATGCAAAGCAGAAATACACCTCAAATAACTCTTGGGGCTACGACTGACAGTGAAGTAAAGCAGCACAAGAGAAAAGGGGCGCCGCAGGTTCCATTATATTCAGTTACCCCGCAGCTTTTTAACTGCAGAACTGTGAAGCGGACCTGCAGCCCAACCGAGGGGGGCTCACAGCCTGAGCAGGAGCTCCAGCACCCGTCCTTCCAGCCCTCAGAGAGGCACGGAGCAGCAGCCGCGGGCTGGCAGCCATTTGAACCATTCTCTGCTTTCTGCATGTATAACAGCCAACGCAGAATCGCAACCAGTCTTACAGAACAGAGGGCATTCCCCCGCAAAAATAACCCTTAAACTTCACCTCCCAACGACCGGCTAACGCTGACAACCGCCGTATTCCACGGCCTTCCTGCACAAGAGCAACGCAGCAACGTGTCAGGGTGCTTTTCAGCCAGCCTTCCACGCACCGCCGTCCCCACTACCGCTATTTCCGAGCCGCACCACGCTGGCGGGTCGCAAGGTCCGCGCTCTCACGCCGGGCTCCCGCCGGACCCCGCGCGGCTCCCAAGGGCGCTGAGGCCGCCCCGCCCGCCGCCCTCTCTCAGCAGCCCGCGCCGCGGGCAGAGCAGCGGGCGAGGCGCCAGCCCCGGGGCAGGGCGCACCGAGCACGGCTCCGGGCCCGTGGCCGCCACGCAGGCCGGACCGGGCCGTGCCGCACCGCGGCCTCCGCGCGGGTCCGACGGCTCCGCCGCCCCCCGATTCCCGCCTCCCGCCGCGGTACCTCCTCGGCGCCGGGCTCCTGCGCGGAGGCCGCGGAGGTAGAGGGCACTTCGCCGTCCGAGCGGGCGGAGGCAGCCGCGGCTCCCTGCTCCATTTTGTGCGCTGCGGGGGCGGGAGGAGCGGCCCCTCCGCCCCCAAACACGGCGCGGCCCCGCCCCGCTCAGCCCTCGCGAGGCTTCGGCGAGACGCGCCGGGCCGATTCGGCGGGACGGGTCGGGTCGGGTCCCGGGGCGGGCGGTCCGTGTCGTATCTTCTCCCGAGCGCGGCTCGCCGCTGGCGGAGCTGCTCCATCGCTGGCGGAGCGCCGCGAATCGCAGCATGCAGATGGCGGCCCCGCGGGGAAGCACGAAGCTCCCAGCTGCCCTCTCCCCGCTGTGAACGCCTGCGGGCAGCGCTCCTCAGAGCGCCTCCGGGCACGGCTTGCGGCAGCCGCGATCGCTCAGGTGGAAAAATGCCGCTCTGCGATGTTATTAGGCTTGATGGAAAACAGCTCACCAGCAGTTCTCGATGTCCGGCTGTCCCACTGCAGCTTCAAACGCTCCTAGCTTCTGTTGATGCGAAATACTCTGGTGTTCCTCACAGCTTGCCTTTGATGGCAGTTCGCGGCAACGTTACACGCTGTACCCAGCAGTCAAGCTGCTGCTCGCATGAAGGATCCCCTTTGGATGTTTTCTGCTCGTGTGTCTGACATTTGCGTTCAGCAATTAGCTGAGAAGTGCTCGCTTGCTCCTCACAGGCTATGCTGGACACTGCTGTGGTTCTGCAGGCCATCGGCTGAGAAGTAGACTCATACAGCGCTATTATCAAGCAATAATCTAATTAATTATCAAAAATATATGGAAGCATGTTTTGGATTTACTATTTTTTCCTTCTTACGCAACATGTTTTCAAATGCATTTGCAAAACTCCACAGAATTTCCCCGAGTTTGTCTTTATTTTTCCGTGGCTGGGAGGCATGGAGCTAGTTGCCACGTAAAGAACGAGCTGCTGGCTCTTTGCTTTTCCTCTTTTGCCCCCCTCTCATTTTACAGTCTGCAGACACAATTGGCAGGGCTGCATGTGCCATCCTTGCACTCAGTTCATAACAATGCTCTGTCCAGTTCAGATGGCATGTTGTGTAAACAAAGCTATGCTGTCCTCAGGCACAGCATGGTTACTCGTTTTTACATATCAGACTACAGAAATACATTAAGAGTTGGTGAGGTGTGGGTCCAGAGACATTTCTTTTACTGTCCAGATAAGAATGCAAGACTTCTGAGATCCTGGACTGTGGATACTCTTCTCCCAAATACAGAACAATTCTGGATAACAGAAGACTAATTGTGCTGGTCTTAATTGCTCTAACACAGAGACATTGCTTTGGTGTAACTTTTAAAAATTGAACCATGCAAGGAAATACACGTGTGCTCATCAGGAGCAGTTACCTGCTGCCAGCAGTGAAATGTCAGTTCTGTTGGCAACAGCAACTCAAGTAAGAAAAGGCGTTGTAACTACAGGTTGCGATTTGAATGTTCTCTGGTGCGAAGGGGAATTGAAGTGCAGCAGGCAGCAGCACTCTGCCCGATGTCGCTAGGTGGCAATGCCACACCACAGGCTGGATGGAGGCTGCAGAGCAGTGGGAAGCTGCCCAATCATATGGCTGGTTTGATCATGGAAAGGGAAAGGATAATGCAAAGCAGATGTGTAAGGCCTCTTGCACCTGCCGCTGTGTAGTCATACCCAGCCCTGCATTACGCAGTAGTGCTGGGGGAACCCATCGTGCATTGTTAGAAAGGGCTGGGTACTGTACCTCTCGTCGTTAATCTGTTTGTTTGCTCCCTTATGCATCATTGAGACTTCACATTGAGCACTGTAGACCAAAATCCAGCCCTGCAGCCACTCATTATTCCTTACTGAAATGTATCAGTGAAAGCTTAGACTACAAACGGCACATGAGGCCTGCCAGCGTCAGCAGCTGACATCACGACCACTGGGAAACCAGTGCTCTATGAACCATAGAGCATGGCCAGAGATGCCTGCAAGGACTGTCTCTTGTCTCTGGCCACCCTCATTCAAGCCCTGCATGCTGCTCAGCCCAGGTACAGCATCCACAGCCTGCACCTGCCTGCCAAAAGCAGATCCCAAAATGGCAGCCCCATGCACAGCCCCTTGCTAGCCTGAGACAGCCTGTTGTCACCAGCTGCCATGAGGTCACTCGAGAGCATCTCAGTTATGGGCACAGGCAACAGCCATACTCATGCCTCAGTTTCCTGTATCCAGTTTTCATTTTGCTCAATGGACAGTCTCCAGAGTGGGCAAGAGAACTTACAAACAAGATATTATTCAGCACTGAAAAAATAAGAAAATTTCTAGTGGTAGTGTTCAAAAATCCAGCCCAGTGGAGAGGTTTGCTGGTTGTCTCTCAGCTCAGCTCAGCTCAGCACATCACCCCAGCTGCCCAGGACACTGCCTGGTACCAATACAGCAGGGCAGGTAGAGGCCAGGGCTGTGGCTACTCTAAGCCATGTCAGTCAAGGCTGCCATAAACCAGGCTGTAACAAGCAATGGTACCACTGTGTGTGCTGCCCTGAACCACTGATTTTGCCCACCTACACACAGTGATGTCCTGTGTATTCAACAGGCCAGGATCCTAGTTTTACTGGAAGTGAAAGACAATTCAAAAGTGCTTTTTAGATCAAAGCAAAAGTGGTCAAGAGATTTTTCCAACAGAAATACAGTGGTTTGGCAGTATTGAAAACCTATAACAGAGACAGCATATTCCAAAATGTTGAGTGTTTGTGAGAGTCAAGCAAGCAGGTCAGTACAGTGTAGGCTTGAACTCTCTTTAGAGCTTCCTGAAATAATTTTTTCACAAATTCTCTTCCAAAAATAAATTGTCTTAGGCAAAAACTTATTTCTGGTGTTTGATTTCATCCTGTTGTCACTTAGCATATCACAGACTATTTGTAAATGTAACAGTGCTTGTACAAAGATTTTAGGATGCACCAGCATTTCCTTTGAGTCCAAGCAATGTGTGGAAGGGTGCTGCATAGCACAGCCTTGCAAGCAGGGCAGACACATTGCAGAGGCCAATAGCCATCACATCAGTAAGCCACAGCTCTTATCATGCTGTGGAAATCCTCTTGCTTTCATCCTGATCAGATGATTCTTACATTCAGATTCTTATGTTTTCCAAAGCATTACCAGTTTCTGCTTAAGGAGCAGTTAAGCTGGAGTAGCTCTGGCTCACTATTAAAGCCTACAGAGAATCTGCTTCTGCTCCCCATGCCTTGTGCTATGCTTCCCTGCCTGCCTGGCTTCTTTCTTCCTCATCCTGCAATCAGCCTTCCTTTTCTGCAACAGTCTCAAGCAGAAAGCTGCCATCAATTTGTTCTTCCTTCCCTGCACTTACAGACATGGTTCAGAAGCCTGTGCTGCCTGAAATGCACTCTCTTTGCTGCAGTACCCTCTACTCTATCGTAACTGCATACAGTATTTCATTTTCCCTCAGTGTTTTGGCACATGCAAGAAAATGACTTGAAAATCACATTGTCAAGTAGGGCTCATGTAACCATCATTAATGCCTTTTTGGACAGCACTGAGGACCAAGGCAGACTGTTGTCCCATGGCAATTTTACTGTCTCAGTTTTCCTCTTCCTCTGGTGTTCTCTAGGCTTGGGAGGGACGTGCCAGGAGGCCCTCTCACATGTAGGCTGAGCAGTATTCATCACTATAGATCGAAAAGGAAGTGGATTTTTCTTAACTTCTACACAGAATGTGAAAAAAAGTTTTTA